AATTTTTTTTTTAATTCTGTCTCTCAGAGTGGGAATGCACCTACAATGTGAATTTCAGACCCCTCCATGATTTCTAAGTGGGAGAACTTGCAAAATCGCAGGGTGTTCAAATACTTCTGTACCTCACTGTACACTCTTATGGGTGGAGATGACTGCCTTGACTAAAGTCTCTCCCACTGCGATTGCCCAATAATATTGCCATGGTATGGCCTGAAAATACTCCTTCACTAGTCCTTTGGCTATATCTGGTATTTCAAAATATTCTAAAGCTTCCTACAGTAGGCTGTGTAGTACCGAATTGAAAGCATCTGAAAATATGAGACATGCAAATTTCTTTTTTCCCACTTTGCTGACTGAATTTGATGCTAGGTCATGCTTGTGTGCTCCAAACAGGCCTGCTGTGGTTCTTGCTCATGCCTGGGACAAAGTGATTTCCATAGGCCCCACCACTCACCACCCCACTCCTCCTCCCTCAGACCATGCACAAGGTCATATATGGGCATACTAACTTAACCCTAATCCATAATTTACACATGGCACTCTCTCATCACACATTTAATCCAAATATAGTCCAACTAACACTAAAGCTGTAGCCCCACTACCAACATCCATTCATAGACATGTGGAAAATTTTTTAAATTGTTTAATCATTTTTCATACACTGCTCTCAGACCACACCTTGTGTTAGGTTTGTATAAAAGCTAATGACTGGAGGTTAAAGGTAGAGCTAGGTGGTAGCTAGGTAACGAGTTATTAGTAGCTGTGTTTGCAAGATGTTTAAGCTAAACCGATGTCTCAACTTGCCCTGACTAATACCCGTTGGGGGTGTACTTGTACTAGAATATTTCACTTCCTCAGATACCTGGCCATAAAGTCCCTTGCACCTCTGCTGTCATTTTCTCTTTTTTTCTTTTCTGAGCACCTCACTTTTGTAACTGGCCTTTGAAGTTTTCATGTGTAAATGACACATGACCACACATTCAGAAGAAGAGTCCCTAATGTAACTTCATTGAGTTACACTAGGGAGACAGACCTGGTCACCTTTGAAGTGCCACCTCTTCCTACTAAATTGTGCTTTAAATTTATATGGATCATTATAAAATCCTGTCAGGAAAAAAAATCCCTGTGTCTCTGATAAGAAGTGGTCTGAGCAGGTTTTAACACAAAAGCAATTTCATGCCAAAATGAGCACCAAAATTGCACTGTCACCTAATCAGCATAAACACAGGCTGAGCTGCTCCTCTCCTGTTACATTGGCACAAAGATGTTCATTTGATGCCAGGAAATTATCAAACAGGCACAGAATTAAAAAAAAAATTGTACCCAAGGAAAAGTACATAGAAAATGCATTGTCCCTACCCCTGATAGGTTACCTGCAGGAACCCATAGTCTTATGATTTGTAGTCAGGTATTTTGGCACAGCCACACTTCAGTAATTAGCAGCATATCACTCACATCATTTTCATGCTCATGAGACCATTCATTGACCCCTCATGTCCTGTGGGTCTGGGTGCTCATTTATTCACATTATCCTTTAATTTTTTGCTATCTATAGCTGATAATTTATGATATGAAGAAGTGTTTATACTTAATTCTGTTGATGCGATGTGTATTTTTACAGTACATAAATAAAACTCATCTGAGTAAAGTTGGTTTTGTATTACTGAATGATGTCAGCAGCTAACACACAGCTATGGCAAGCACTGAGTGGAAAACCTATTTTGTTTAGTCACCACCTGCACTGCTTAAAATAAGCCAAACATAGTCACACAAGACTCTGGTGAGTTGTGGTTCTAATGCTTTCATTTATACTTTGGAAAAAATACAAATAACAAAGCACTAGTCAAATCATTCCCCCTGTGTCTGTGAGAGTATAGTGCTGCTCTGATGACATTGTTGAAAACTGTACTGTTAATATTTTCTAATTGTTCTGATAGCTCTGATACTGCTAACACAGCTAAATTTCTTTGCTGATTTTTAAGAGTGCGATGTGAAGCTCCATGCTATCTTTTGTAAATGAAACTTTTACAAATGCAGGGAAGCATTCAATTTAAGGGTATAGATTACTGTAATGATCCAGTTGATGTTGATGTTGATGATGTTTTAAAACATGCATGTCTTCACCCCCAACCAAAGCTGACTCAAGTGACATCATTGCTGGCAAGTTATCAAACAGACTGTGCAGCTCCCTCTGGAACCACAAGAGACTATACAACTACATGACCAGTTAGAAGTTTCACACCTTCTCATTCCATGGATTATCTATTATTTTTAACATGATACACCAAAGACATTAAAACAATGAAATAACACATATGGCATTATGTAGTAATGAAGAATACCTCAATGACACATTTACACACTACTGGCAATATCTTCACCAGCTTCATGGTGGAAGTCACCTGGACTGCTTCCCAGAGTACTATAGCAGACACATCCCAGCTATTCAGAGGACACTGTGTAAATCGGACCATCGTGGTTGAATTGCTGAAAGGAAATCACTACTGAGGTAGACCAGTAAGAAGATGAGAACTGCTTGGACCAGGAAACACAAAGAATGGACATGAGACCAGTACATATCTGTACTTTCTTCTGATGAGTCTTTTGCGCTAACCAGTTCTTGTTACCATGCTAACTCTGAGAGACGAGGCAGTCCAAGTAACTTCAAAACAGTGCTGATTTATTCAAAGGATCACAGGTAAAATTAACATTACATGCTCAGGTATCTTGCACCTCCAAACTGCACGCCGACAGATGAAAGATGAAAGACCCCGAACCAAACCAGGCCTATACATTATATCTCTTCAGTTGGGCTAGCCCCATACTACACAGAAGCGTCAACCGCGACGTCTCTCTTGCCAGCTTTGCAGCTGGCCATATCAGTAATCAAAACATGAAGCAAATCAATGTGTGTGTGTCTGTTGATTAAGTGGTGTGTAGCTAAAAACATTCTCACAGACCTCTAGAACATGTCGTGACTCAAACATAAGAACATATTATGGCTAAGGCTACAGTTATACACGTCGTAATAATAATATTAAACACCCTGTCTGCTGACAGTCATCAACTCTTCTCTCTAGTTATCCTTGACCAGATGTACCCTGTAGAAACTCATAAGCATGACTAAGCATTTAACAGTCTAACTAGACATCCTATCTCCACTAAACATTTCTAATACATAAAGTATCTATCCAATATCTATCTGACTAAAAATACCTAACAAGTCCAAAGTTGAGATTTTTAGTTTCTAGCACTGTTTTTCTGAGATGCAGAGAAGGTAGACAGGTGGTATTTGCATGAGTGGTTCCTACTGTGAAGCACGGAGGTAGTGGTGTGATGGTGTGGGGTGCTTTGCTGGCAACACTGTCAGGGTTACAACATTCTGCAACAACACACCATCCCATCTGGTTTGTGCTTAGTGGGGCCATCAGGACACTGATCTAAAACACACCTCCAGGCTGTGTAAGAGCTATTGGACCAGGCCTCTACAATCACGGCCAAAAATCCAGCTGAGACATTTTGGGATGAGCTGGACCACAAAGTGAAGGAAAGCGGCCAACAGGTGCTCAGTATGCAGTATATAGGAATTACTCCATCCCATGACGCTTGTTGAGAAAATGCCAAGAGTGTACAAAAATTGCTATCAAAGCAAAAGGCGGCTGTGCTTTGTTTACACTTTTTCTTTTGCTAATTACAATATCGCATTTGTTATTTCAAAGGTTTTGATGTTTTCAGTATTCATTTATAATGTAGAAAATAACAAAAACAAAGAAAAACTACTGAATGAGAATGTGTGTCCAGACTTTGCACTGGCTCTGTAAGTGAACAAAATCAAGTCAAAGTAGAAGTCACAGTTAAGAAGACATAGTAGTTTTGCCACTACTGTCGCTCTAATTGAATTAGAGCCACATAACGCCAAATCATTTAATATTTATATGTTAACCTTTTCTTCTATCGCTGCATCCTCCTTAATGGCAAAGGCACACTGTGCTGCAAATACAGAGAGCTTAACCTGGTGGTTGTAGTTTTTCAAGACATCTTTATACTTGCTAGGGGCAACAATAGAAAGCTCTGCGATTGGAGCAGTGATGACAACTGTGTTCCTGTCCACTCCATAGTGCTTTAAAGCTGTAGCCATATTCCCTCCTCTTCTGAAGAGCTGCAGAATACTTTTGTATCGGGACACCACATGTATTGGACTTTGGGCTGCAATTCAGAGTACAGATTATGTGTTATCCACTGTAAGTAAATGTACGTGACATACTCACACATGATGAACCAGAAGAAAAAAATAAATAAAACTGAAGAGTACAAGAATTACAATTAATATTTTTACCTCTCGGGTATGTTTTTTCTTTTCTTCATTTGCTTCTTTTTCATCATCATCTTCTTCTTCCTCCTCTTCCTGACTTCATCCGACGACGTGTCTGTATCAGTGGAGGAGTGAGATGATGAATTGGAAGACACAAAGGAGGTGTCAGAAGAGGACTTGGAGGACAAGTTTGTTGCCTCTTCAGAGGCCTTTGTTAGGCTTTTCCTGTCTTTATTAAGAGCTGTAAAAACACAAACAAGGACACAACCATCATTCAGACAATTCAAATAAGGTATTCATCTTACTAAACAGCTGCAGTAGCCTTTGCTCTGAAAGAAGAGAGCACAACCACAGCTGGATTGACAAGAGGATGTCACGTTAGGTTACCTATGCTTGTGTACACTGTTTGAGACAGTCCCCCAAAAACTACAGACTACATATCTGATTTTAATCATACTAGTGCTTTACCGAGGAAATCCGAACAATTACATTTGTATTGAAGATAACACTTTTTTCATATTTTTAAAGAAAATTATACTTTAATGTAGTCATTTCTAGATGGCATTAGAACTTGTAATTTGTGTTGCTTGTGAAATAGTACTTTTTTGGGGGCCAGCTGACATTTACTTTTGTTATAAAAAATAATTACCTATTATAAATCCCTAAAATATATGGATTAGCCATATACAATAGTCCATGGAGTTTGGATACAGTTGCACATGAACAAACTATACCATACTGTTCAGTGTAGTGTAGTGCAAAGAGTCTTACCTGATGCCAACTGTTCTGTCAAGTAATCCCTCTCCTTGGTCAGCTCATCAGTCTTCTCATTTTGCCACTCCACTTTCATCTGCAGCATCTCCATCTCATGGGATTTTCTTCTTTCCCTCAACAAAGCAGTTGGGGCCAAAGATGCACCTAAAATCCAAAAGTGACATTTATAATAATCATTGTAAAACAGGACTGTTTCTCAATTCAGGCAACAGAAATTGACATAAAGTTTGGGTTAAAACAATGTGCACTTTCTAATTCGTTTCATGGAACTTTCAGTGAATACATGTAATTTTTTTCATCTTGGATCAAGTTATTAAACAAAACTCAGTGAGATGCAAAGTGGGTCTAGTGTCTCAGGAAGTTAAGCTCGTCCCAATGCTAAACATTAGCTCACTAGAGAAATGCATTTCCTGTCGAAAATGCGTGTGGATGCTGTGTGCTGAAAGATTGCCCTGAAAATGCTGAACATTTTGACACGGGAAAGGGATATTTACCTGAAAGTCTGCTGAAGTACAATTTTCCCATTAATTTGAATGGGGCAAGATTGTCAAAATAAAGCTAAATATTTCAAAAGTACGAAGTTTAGAAATGACTGTCCTTGAAAAGCTGAACATTTTGATACCTGAATGGCTTGGCTAGCAGAAAGTATGCTGAACTTATTAAAGATATGAAAAGTGTCCAATGGGACCCCACAAACTAGGTAAAACAAGTAGGTGTGAACGTGTGTGTGGGCGGGGGCGGGGGGAAATTGCATTTCCTGAAGAAAATGCATGTGTGGATGTGAGATTTGTAATGCATTGTTCTGAAAATGCCTGAAATCAATAGCCAAAATGGCAGAAGGATGAGAAGAAATGGCTGAAGTTCTTTGTTGAAATAGTTAAGAAGAATTGGCTGAAGTTCTTTTTTGAATTATCTGAAGGATAAGATGAAATATATACAAGCAGGGATGTCCTTGAAGAGCTGAACATTTTGATACCTGAATGGCTTTTGTAGCTGAAACTATGCTGAACTTATAAAGATGTGTCTCAATCGTCCCCACAAAGTAGGTAAAACGAGCAGGTGTGTGTGTGAGAGTGTGTGTGTGTGTGTGTGTGTGTGAGTGAGTGAGTGAGTGAGTGAGTGAGTGAGCGAGTGAGAAAGAGAGAGAGAGAATTCGCAATTACACCCTGTGGACTACTACAGTGTGGCTATTGAAATCAAACATTGTGAGGATTGCCCTGAAAATGTATGAAATCAATTGTTTAAAGAGCTGAAGGATGAGAAAATATGGATGAAGTTCTTTGTTGAAAATGTTGATAACACAAAGATGCCACAGCAATAGTGAACTACATTAAATGGCATGCCAAGAACAGCTGTTGTTTCATACAGCTGTGCAAAGACCTGGGATTAGATCATGTCCAGTTGCTATGTTGTTCAGAAGTTTGCTTGGCTTTCAAGGGGAAAAGTAATGTCATGGTTTTATGAGCTTAAACACGAAATCACTGCCTTCCTCTCACACAATAACTCCCTGTATACTGAGATGCTCAGTGATAAATTCTGAAGTGGCAGTGAAGTACATCAGAGTAGTTTAGGATATGTATGAGAGGAGTACAATGTCAGTCGTAGTAAAACAGAATACATGTGTATGAACAAAAGGGAGGGAAGTGGAACAGTGAGGTTAGAGGGGGCATAGGTCAGGAAGGTGCAGGAGTTTAAGTATTTGGAGTCAACAGTCCAGTGTGATGGGGAGTGTGGGAAAGAGGTGAAGAGGCGAGTGCAGATTGGAATGGGTGGAGAAAGGTGCCAGGAGCGTTGTGTGACAGAAGAGTGGCAGCAAGAATCAAAGGAAAGGTGTACAAGACAGTAGTGAGACCAGCTATGCTGTATGGGTTAGAGACTGTAGCAGTGAGGAAAAGACAAGAGGCAGAGATGGAGGTAGCAGAGAT